TTGGTATTCTAGCTTTAAGAACTAGTTTTTTTTTTTTTTTAAATTAAGTTTACACAAATGCAACAGGATATGTATATGATGAGTGTGTGCTGGCAATCAGGACGATATATCTATACTACAAGCCTTGTTTCAGCTTCCTCTCGAGCGTAGGTAGATGGATAACCACCTCTTTTAACTATGGCCACTGTATGAGGTCCCATACGGATATTCCTCTTTGCTGCCATCTAAATTTGCATCGTCATTTTTTTTTTACCAAATGAAATTGGTCATTATGGTTCCTACTTGAATAACAAACAGAAAACCTCTTAAACGCAAACTGTCAACACTTTTATGTCACATGCAGTAATCTATTTTCAAGCACTTCAGGTTATGGTCATTCATAAAGAAAACTTATGCCGTTCAAAGTTTTTGTTGACAGCCACAAATTTCCAACTCCGTAATCTAAGAAGTAAGCTAAACAAACGATGAAGCAGTCACATAAAGCAAATTTAACAAGTGGAACATTTCTTACCTGCATCAGATCACTGTAGTCAATTTTGTGTAAAAATTATTTCTAACTTTGAAAATACTTTCAAAAAGTCAAGATATTTTTTGCTCATACTGCTGTTATTATCATAATTATAATCATAAAAAAATTTTGTTTTTCTTTTTTCTTATCACAATACATTTTTTTCTTTTTTGAAGAAAAATAGCTGGTTTCTCATCATTCTTAAAACCGAGACACGCTACAGCGGAAACCAGCAGCAAGCAGTTCAGTACAATGCCTCTACATATTAAAAGTTTGATCATGACTGCTGTTACTATTGTTTCTGCCACTACTACGAGTAACTGAACTGTTTTCATAAACAATGAAAAAACAAATAAGTATTCAAAAAAATGCTCTAACCTTTTCGAAAACAGTCAGATCATCATACTTGGTAACACAGAAGAAGTTGATAAAGCAAAAAGAAATAATAAGCAAAAGCAGTACAAATATTAAAGCAACAAAGACAGGAGCCAAATAATCAAGCCAATCGAATTCTAGAGCAGGCATTACTTCTGAAAATGATCAGTTTAAAACAACAAGATTTATTCCGTGCAAAAGATGTCATTTAATTTTTTATTCATGCGACATTTTCATATATATCGACGTCACAGCCCTTAAAAAAAAGAATTTCTAGAACATGTCAAAGTAGTTTCATACATCAGTCTTTAGTTGACATCCACAGACTTAAAGTTTCCTTGTACAAAGAAAACTAAAACTCAGACAAAATATGTTTGTTTCTGTGTCAGAATGACAGTGCAAAACAAAGTCTGTTGCAACAGCACACATAAGATTCAATGAAGTTGAAGCTAGAACTAAATATGGCATTGAAAAGGATAAAATTCTTACATTTGCACGTGTACTTGAATAAAAAGACTTCTTGTTATCGGCAGTTAATCGACAGAACAAATAAGAACAGAAAAAACATAAATAGGTAGGAAAACTTGGACATCGAAGAAGCATAATAAATGCGTACAGGAACAGAAATGTATCTAGCAGCGGTGTGTTCCTCTGTCCATTATAGCCCAATCGCGGGGCAAAACAGGTGAGCAGAATTTGTTTATTACCCCAACAATGCGCAGTGTATTCGAAGTGAAACGAATGGGGTCGAAAACCAGATCTTCAGAAAGCAACATGACAATGCTCTTCTGTAATATTAGGTTCCAGTGGTGCAAAGGACTTTTCCCTTTTTAATATTACTATGCCTTTTCGCAGAATGACGATCTAAAATGTGTGTTTTAGTAGAAGTTTCTCTGTTTTTGATTATGCCAAAGAGCACTAAGCAGTTATTAAGAACCAGGTCTAAAAGTACAGTAGTTAAAAATTAAACATTAAAGTAGATTTGAAACAAACCTAGTATTTGTTCAATTCCCACGATTCTTATGCGGTAGTAAAGTTTCTTACTTTCAAAACTGAACTTTAAAAGTGTTACACTAAAATTGACGTTCAAAACCAAATTGATTAAAACTTCAAGAATAGAAAAAAAAGCATTTTTGTAATAACATTAACTTTTTAGCTCCAATTTCATTTATATAGACTGCTTATGAATGCACTAGATCATTTTTGTAAAATAGGCTGAAAAAATTTCAATTAATTGTCCAAAGCCGTACATCACTGCCATCAAATTCAATAGACATTTTGAGACACTTCAAAAGTTAGGACTGATATAATCAAGAAGAGATAGCATTTGTTTTTATTTCTTTTCTGTAGGATTGACTTTATTCAGATGTAAGCTATATTTTTCAAACAGCTCTGCATCATTAAAACAATAATCTTATCAGACTTGTCTGGTTGGTCATAGACGCAATTGCTTCACCAAAACTCCAACTCAGCCAACTCATTATTTTTGTTTTCGCTCTTTTTTTTCAAAGCCATTAAAGTTCTGCAAACGGTCAACTATGCTAAACATTTCAGGTTTTAATGCAACAGAGTTATTTCAATAAATGACTACATAAACACAATGTAAAACTATGATTTTCTTCAAATCCTTTAAAAGCGTAAATGTCGATCCAGTGACCTTCTAAGTTCAGACCACCGAACATTTATCACAGCTGAAGTGCTCTAAAACCAAAGGTCACATATATTCGTGCGACCGAGAATAAACTCCACTGTCGCCGAAGTCCACTGCTAACTTACACAAGAGGAGGAGAGAAACACGGTAGTAGCGTCTATGCTTTCAAAAATTT